CATGCACACAATGACCACTCTTTGTCATAAATTCCTGCAACTCTTGTTCGCCTCTCTGACCAGTTTCCTCCTGGCTCTTTCATCAAGTTTGGAGCGATGTCCTGATCCAGGGAGGGTCTGTGTTGTACCAAATACCTTCCACTTCTTAATAATAGACTTCACTGTGCTTCTCGGCATTGATAAAGCCTTTGACATTTTTAAAATCCATCTCCTGATTGTGTCTGTCCACAACTTTATCCTGGAGATCTTTTGACAGTGCCGTGCCACCAATAGTTGATTGTTTACTTCAGTTGCACTACTAAGGACTGAAATGCTCCAGGAAAGCTCTTTTCATGCTGAGCTGATCCAAATGACCACAGCTGATCACAGTTGAAAGTCAAATAGCTTTGTGTGCCATTGAGAAGTTGATTAGCTACAGCTGATCACAGTTGAAAGTCAAATGGCTTTGTGTGCCATTGAGACAGTAGCCATTTCTCAATATTCTTTCTTGTCTGTACTTGTGGACTTGTGAAACGTCATCAGTCATCGCCCAAGTACTGTTCCAATTCAAAGTTCACATCTAGCCAAGTACAGTTCAAATCCCCGGATGTGTTCTTGCTCCGCCCCTTTTATCAAGGATGCATCCAGAGGTGACTTGTGCGAACTTGAGGCAGCCAGATATCCCAGAATGCTTTTCGGAGGCGGAGGACAAAACCCCATAGTATTCTAAATATTACAGTTATTGTGTCATGAAATGCAGTTCTAAGAGTATTTCAGGCGAGAATGTAGTTGTTTAAAACTCAAATCTGCGGTTTATTTATAAAGATAGCGCCTATTTGAAAATTTGCTCCGCCGATTTCGGTGACGTGAGCTCCACGAGATCAGCTGGCGCTCGGTGCGCATGTATCCGCTGAGAGCAGCCTCGTCTCGGCCAGTCCTTCTGACATTTGCCGCTGGCTCTGATGTCTCTGTAGTGGTTAAACATGAGATATAATTCGCTTGGGGTAAATCTAACAGGCAATCTTTGGTCTCATTAATCTATTATTTCTTCCAGGTCATATCGTTTTGGCTGAGCACAAAGTTATGTTTCATAAATTAGTTATTTATTAATCGTAATACAGCACGGACTTGTTGCATACATTTGACTGAATTGTTTGCTTTTGTCTTATTTCCTATTACATAAGTCTCATACTTTATAGTTATACTTTTATAATGGCTATTATTGTTCATTAAAACTGACATTTCATTAAAACGGACTTTTAACAAAAAAGGCAGTTGTGCTTGTCATATTTCATTTTATTATACATTCAGTGAAGATAGTCAGAGTATATGTGCACATATTACCTAAACCACATATTAATATGTTTTATATTTTTAAAATGAAAACGAAAAGGGTTTTGTTTTATATTTTGACGAAAACGAAAAGGCAGTGGTGTTTGATATAATTTCGTTTTATTGTAATGCGTGTACGCGTTGCATGAACCACATTTTTATGGCTAATAGCCTAATATTTTAAATGAAACAGAAAAAAGGCAATGCTGTTTGATAGGTTGCGTTTCACTGTAATGTATGTAGCCTGTTCCCCGAACTAAATTTTTGCGGCTATTAATATGTTTAAAAGAAAACGAAAAGAGGCAGTTGTGTTTGACAGCATATTTCGTCGTATTGTATACATACAGTGAGGATAACCGGAGTACCCAAGGCGAGCTGACTGAGTACTAAGTACGCTGCTGTTCCATTTGCAGAATTACCGGGCTTGCGTCCTCCCGTCCTCAGGAGTTCGCACTTCCGAGTCGAACTTGCGAAGTCCGAACTACCGAGGACGCAAGTCCGAACTATGCGTACTTGGTATTGAGAAACGGCCAGTGATTAGCGACAACTGATTGAGTTTACAAGACATTTTTAGGAGGGGGGTGATCCTTTTTCCAACTCAGTGATTTTTTTTTCTGACATGTTGGTGTTATATCTTTCACTTGGATGTTATAAGTTGCACTTGGACAGGCGCTTTGATGATTCATGCATCACTGAGAAACAAGGAGTGTACAAAACATCATCTGACAACTTCTTTTTAAAGGGGGCTGATTCTTTTCTATACCCACTGTAGATATAGACACCAGGCACTCCAAACAGAAAATTTCAATTATTTAAAGATGATGTAGGCCTACTGCAATGCAGTGATTAAGATGAATCTAAGAATGATACACAGCATAAATTCTGCCACAATGATCTTGGCGTTCCTTTGACTCATATGCTGGAAGGTAAGGGGGAACATGCCTGAGAAATTTATATTCATGTTGAATCCTATTCTGTTTATGCATATGTTAATCTAATCACCACAGTTTACCCTTGAGTGTGCGACCCGTCTGATCTATAATCATAGACATTAACATTCACCGGGAAGAGCCATGTCTTCCATTGCTCCTAAATTGAATATATTGTCATTGTCTGAGAAATAGAAAGTGATCATAGGCAATGTATATGATTTCAGTGGCATCCCTATAATACGCTTGTCCCCCCGGTGAAATCAAAACTGCTTTCCCAAACATTCATTTACTGTATTAAGTGCACTTTCCATCTGTGAATTTTCATAATTTGATTGGATGATAAATGAAATAAGATTGAGCTGAAAAGCAAACCTGCCATTATACAATAATGGAAACCTTTAGTCCAATTTTTTGTACATATCTGATATTTTATACAGGCAAAAATTGTGTTTTGTTTGAGGAGAAATGGAATTAGTCTTCATTTATCAGCGAGATATCCATTCCTTTCTGTTTGCAATAAGAATAATGTTTCAAAAATGAAGCAAATTTCATTCTTGGGCTCAAGCAACGCTGCAGCCGTTGGAAATAACATGCATGCAATATATACAACAGTAATCCTTCTGTCTTCCCTGCTTCAATAACTGCTCGTTTACCCAGCTGGGTCACCAAACACTTCAATTGAACCTAAATGTGAGTCACCAGCAACCCCTATGCTCAGGTTTTGATCCGTTTGGAGAACAGATGCTAAATGCAGACTCCTGTTTTTTGGCCATGTCCGTTGGCGACAACAGGTATACTCTTCCTGATGGAGGTCATGCGGATAGTAGAGGAGCTCTGGAGGTAGCTGGTGTTGCGCTCTTGGTATTTGCGCTGTCTGCACAGCAGCTGGTTGTTGAAGTGCCTTCGGAAGCTCTCGCTCAGCAGGTACAGGGCAAATGGGTTCACGCAGGAGCCGGAGAAACTCAACACGCGCGCCACAAGCGTGATGATGAGGTGTGACAGCGAAGAGTCGATCTGCCTATAGTTGAATGAGCGGTACATGTAGAGAACGTGGTTGGGGAACCAACACAGCGCGAAGAGGCCCACAAACACCAGAACGATCTTGGCTAGACGCTTCCTCGTTTCCGTCTCAGAAGAGAGGAGAAAACATGACAGATTAAACCACTCGATAAAGCACAAGGTGCATTTTAGATGAGGAAAAGGTCAATAAAAATGCATGCAAGTTCAGTAGTACATCCTCTAGCCTGATTCTGAACCCAGTAATTGATTGTCATTTGCTGGAATCAAGTTTAGTTCTAACAGGTGTTCTTTTTAGCAATTTATGTTTCACCTATACCATTAACATGTTTTAATGTTTTTGAAGGAAGTCTCTTTAAAAAGCTTAACAAGGCTGCATTTATTTTATCAAAAATAGAGTAAAAACAGTAATATTGTGAATTTTAATATTTTAAAATGTAATTTTATCCCCCTGTGATGGCAAAGCTGAATTTTCAGCAGCCATTACTCCAGGCTTCAGTGTCACAAGATTCTTCAGAAATCATTCTAATATGATGATTTTATGCTCAATAAACATTTCTTAATATGATCAAGGTTGAAAACAAGGTTTTTTCTGCTTCATATTTTTGTGGCATATTAAAATAGAAAATGATTATTTTAAATTGGGATAATATTTTTTTCTGCATTAGAGCATAAGAGACTTCTTTTAAACATATTTAAAAAATCTTAATTATTCCAAACCTTTGACCGGTAGTGCATGTTGCTTTGTGCTTTGAATTTATCTTATTTTATTTTCCACAGAATAAGGAAACTCATACAGGTTTGGAATAATGTGAGAGTGAATAAATAATGTCTGAATTTTCATTTTTAGGTATGTAATTTTTTATCAGCTGGCTCTAGAGATTCTGCAGTACTGACAATGCATAATTTCCACTGTTCAATGAAGTACATGCAGTGCATAATACAAGAGATTATATCCCAAAAAGCCATTCACGCCATTCAGAGAAATGAATGATAGATGGATGTAAAAGACTGTGTTGCTTTGTCCTGTGAAATGCATAATTACTCATAACCAGAAGAGATAAGAGCAGCGGTAAACTTCAACTATACTGTATTATCAAGGGCAAGAGGGAGCGGAAAATGTTAGCTGCCTTGAAACAGCTGTTAAAAGAGAATATTAAAGAGAATATCTGTCATCCTTAAGGACCCTTGGCACAATGCTTAACTGATGATTCACAGCCCAGAAAAAGATAAAGTGCCCTGTCTCAAAAAACTGTCAAGGGAACATTTTATGAAGGGTGTCCTTCAGTTCAACAGTGGCTCATTTTATACTTTTTCTAAAAATGTTTATGGTTTGGCTCTTCGGAAAGGAATCTGGTCTTAGATCATCATAAAAGGGCCAATTCCATTTCTGTTACAGCAATTTGACATTGTTTCTAAATAATGGGTAAAGGTTATATGCATTATGAACTGCATTAAGAATGCCTCTTGAATTCCAACTGAATTCCTGAATTTTTAAAGTTGTAAATAATGTAGTTATTGTCTTTATACTTTCCAAATTTCACATTTAATTTAATTCAATAATTGTTATTTCGTTGTAATTATTTGTGAAATTTTCTATCAATTGCTGAGAAAAGTAAATATGCTATATGCTACATTTTTTAAAAGTTTAAAAAAAATTTAAGTAATCTTGGGTGGACAACTCCTTGTTTGACAGTTAAAAATTGAAATAGATAGATAATCGGATGGATGGATGGACGGATGGATATATATACTAGAGAGATTAAAAAATCAATCGATCGATAGATAGATAGATAGATACATAGATAGATAGATACATAGATAGATTAAAATCAGATAGATAGATAGATAGATTAAAAATCAGATAGATAGATAGATAGATAGATAGATAGATGATAGATAAAAAATCTGATAGATAACTAGATAGACTGTTTAGCGGATAGCTACCTTACCGAGCCTGTTTAAATTTTCATAGTTTTCTTACTTAAGTCTTAGTCTTGCCTTGTCTGTTTTCCTGGTCTCTGATTCACGCCACGTCTCTTGGATTAACCCTTTGCTTGCTGTTGATTTGTATCGTGAAAAGCGCTGTACAAATAAACTTGAACTTGAATTGAATTGAATAAAAAATCTGATAGATAGATCAGACAGATAGATGAAAAATCAGATAGATAGATTTCCAAGTAACTTTCTGTGGAGTGTATCCCAAATTCACACTCATTCTTAAATTTATCATTTTGCTCAACCCTGCCAATTACCACATGAAGCACATTTCAGATTACTCTTTTACAATGACAAATCTGTACGTTCTGTGGTACTATCTCTACTGGGATATTTTAAAGGGGTCATATGATGTTGCTAAAAAGAACATTATTTTGTGTATTTGGTGTAATGAAATGTGTTTATGCGGTTTAAGGTTCAAAAAACACATTATTTTCCACATACTGTACATTATTGTTTCTCCTCTA